GGAAGGTGATTGCTTATGCGTCACGACAGTTGAAAATACATGAGAGAAACTATCCAACGCACGATTTGGAGTTAGCAGCATTGATTTTCGCTCTTAAGATCTGGCGGCATTATTTGTATGAAGAGTCATGTGAGATTTACACTGATCATAAGAGTTTGAACTATATTTTCACACAGAAGGAACTAAATTTGAGGCAAAGAAGATGGCTTGAGTTGCTAAAAGATTATGATGTGAATATTTTATATCATCCGGGGAAGGCAAATGTAGTTGCAGATGCCTTGAGTAGGAAGGTCGCAGTTGGAGATGTAGCTGCTTTGTCTATTGAGAGTTGTTTGGTGCAAGACATGAGACATTTGAGGCTTGAGGTTGTTACGCCTGGTAATAGGGCTTATCGTAGTCAATTGACAGTTCAACCGACCTTGAGAGAATGGATTCGTTTAGCACAGGAGATTGACCCCCAGTGTGAGCGTATTAAAGGAGAGATGGCAGAGGGTAAGCATGTAGACTTTGTGGTTAGTGATGATGGGTTGCTTAGATTCCGTAGCCGAATTTGTGTTCCTGCTGGTGGTGATTTGAGGAAGGAGATTATGATGAAGGCACATAGTTCTAGTTACAACATTCATCCTGGAAGCACTAAGATGTATCGGGATCTTCATGAACATTTCTGGTGGAATGGTATGAAGGGAGATATTGCAGAATTTGTGGCTCAGTGTTTGGTGCGTCAACAGGTTAAAGTAGAACATTAGAAACCTGAGGGGAAACTACAACCCATACCTATACCAAAGTGGAAGTGGGATCATGTTACAATGGACTTCGTGTACGGATTACCTCGTACTAGTAGTAATCACAATGCAGTTTGGGTAGTTGTTAATAGATTAACCAAGTCAGCACATTTTATTGCAGTACGGATGACCTATTCTCTAGCTCGATTTGCACAGTTGTATGTAAAGGAGATTGGTAGATTGCATGGTGCACCAGTGTCAATAGTATTAGATCAGGACCCTCGTTTTGTGTCTAAGTTTTGGGGTGCGTTACAGTCAGCTATGGGCACCCAGTTAAAATTTAGTTCAGCTTATCACCCTCAGACGGATGGGCAATCAGAGAGGACTATTCAAACCCTTGAGGATATGTTGAGGGCTTGTGTTTTGGAATGGAGAGACAATTGGGATGATTATTTGCCACTTATGGAGTTTGCATATAAGAATAGTTATCATTCTAGTTTGGGAATAGCCCCTTATGAGGCTTTGTATGGGAGGAAGTGTAGGTCTCCTTTGTGTTGGTATGAGGTTGGTGAGAGGCAAATGTTGGGACCTAATTTGGTAGAGGATGCTACATGGAAAATGATCACCATCAGAGAGAGATTATTGACTGCTCAGGGTAGACAAAAAGTTATGTTGATCATCGTAGTAGAGACTTAGAGTTTTATGTGGGGGATATGGTATTCTTGAAAGTATCACCATGGAAAGGAGTGATCAGGTTTGGAAAGAAAGGAAAGCTGAGTCCTAGATACCGGTCTCGTTGCCAAACTTCTAGGGGCGAGTTTGGGGCGTGACAGTTCCGTACCGTGTTGCTCTATCCCCTAGGTTGGCATGAGTGCATAATGTGTTTCACGTGTCTATGCTAAGGAAATATGTGCACAGTTCGTCGCATGTGATAGATTATGAGCCACTTCAAATTAGAGAGGATTTTTCATATGAGGAGACGCCTGTTCAGATTTTGGATTCGAAAGAGAAAATGCTGCGTACAAAGGTCATTAAATTGGTTAAGGTATTGTGGCATAATCATCTAGTTGAAGAGGCGACTTGGGAGCGCGAGAACGGGATGCGCGAGAAGTACCCACATCTATTCTCATGATTTACTCAGGTTAGTTTCGAGGACGAAACTTTTCTTTTAGTGGGGGATAATGTAAGAACCCGAATATAAAAATCAAGTAAATAATTAAATAATAATAATATTATAATCTCAAATATTTTGGTTGTGAATCCTAAAGTGCAAATTAAATGTTCGGAAGGTCTTTTAATTAATTTTAAATCTAAAATAAAATTATGGTGAAAGTCCTTAATTTAGAGGCAAGATTTATAAATATATATATAGAGAAGAGGGTGTGACTTGAACTGTAGACCACAAAATTAATAAATAAGGCGCTTACCATTTGAGTTGCATAGAACTTATACATATATTTTGTATATTGATATCAATCCTTTTCTTAACTACCCTAGTAGCAGCCGTGAGTTATAGAGAAAAGGGAGAGGGAAAGAGACAGCTTGTTTCAGTTTGGTGGTGTCTTTAGCAAGGTAATCTTCCTCACTATCTTCCTTTTTGTTCTTATTTTCTTTATTTAATTCCTTGTGCCGTTGTGAGGGTTGTGTGGCTGGTCTGTTTTTGGATTATTTTATATAGATATGCCTACATACATACTTATACTAATGTAGCAATAGAGTTAATTGGGTAGTCAAATATATTACATGTGCATCTCAGTTAAGAGTGGTGCATATGTGGCAAAGAAATTGTTGGGCATGCCGGTGTGTGTTTTATTATTTCTTTATATTTAATTGGTGGTTTGGTTATGCTGTGGAGGAGTAAAAGAGGGAGGTATTTGTATTTAATAATGGATTTTCTTGTGTAAATGGGTTGCTGGGAAGTTTTGTGTTGCAATGGTGGATGGAAATTCTTGATCCTAAAAACATAAACTTTAAATTTTGAGGAATCATATCAAACTGAGGAATATTGAATTGAAATTTTTACGGTAGATTAATTACATATTGAATTGCATATCTGAATTTTTTTCATAATTTTTGGGAGTCAAAATCCATATAATCTAATGCATTCAAATCTGTACAGAAAACTGGTTTTAAACAGTAATTTCGGGACTGTTGTTCTCTTTGGGTATAAATCCAAAAATTATCAAATCAGCATCATTAGAACCGGTTACAAGTCTAGTTTCGTACGTTTTTGGCCTTGCGTTGATTGCTCATGTACACTAGGAGAACCATCAATTTCTTTAAAGTGCTGCAGGAAACAATCTGTTTGGGCATAATTAATTGTAAATAATTATTTTGATATGCAAATCAAGTGAAACCAATTGGGTTTGAAACTTAGGATATATTAGTTTATATCTGGGGGGTTTTAGAATTTTTCGAACAACGTGGAGTGGGTTTTTAATTTTCAAAGTTAGCGAATAGATTGGAAAAACTCTATTTTATCTTAAAGTCACTTTTAGTTAAGTTTCAATCGGAACCCATGTCTTGGGTGATTTTAGACCTTGAAGAACATTAACTTAGGTATTATTTAAGAGTAGCGGTTAGTAGGGTTGAGTTGTGTTAGTGCGCTTTAGTGTGGGGTACTTAGTTTATTATTCTCTTTAGTATTTTCAAATTAATAGTGACATGTAGTCTTCATACTTGGTTCAGGGCACTAGTTGGACTTTTATACTCAATTCGAGGATTACATTATTTCGTTCCAGGTGAGTAGTTTCATGCTACGTATTTTTATAAATGTTCCGCTACCTTGAACTATTGGAAAAATAATTTGATGTTTCAGGACTAAACTGTTTTGATAAATTATTATATTATCAATGGAATCAAATTATTTCTGAAACATGTGTGAACTTAGCATACTGCAAACTATTTGTTTTGGTCTCATGTTTATAATGATGAACTACCATGTTTTGCGAAACTGGTGTGTATTGATTATTGGGACCATATGTGTATTTAGTCCAGGGAAATTATTCCACTGTGTGTGGTGACTCTGGCCACTAGGGAACAGATCCGGGTTGGGCCGTGATGACTCTAGTGCTCAACGATTGTAAGGGAAAGACCTACATTAAACTAGGTGTCGTCTTCGAGAAAAGGCCCAGGTTGCCACCCTGAGGATGACTCCTAGTTCGATGTTGGATCCAACGGGACTTATAGCCTTGAGAACTATGTGGCATATTATTTGTTTTTTTCTTGGTACCCAGAAAATTATCGGTGTTCATGTTGTATTTTGTTTTAAGTGAAAAATGTCATTTATCATGTTCTTGAGAGACATGAGTATTTTAACTGTTGAACTATGGAACCTTCTTTTAGAAACAGATTCTCTTTACCAAACTGTATGCCAATCTAGTTTCTGTGATACATATCTTACTTTGGAATTGAACCCTATTCCCAAACTGTATTTACTATCCATGTTGCTACTCACTGAGCTTTCAGTTGACTTAGTTGTTTACCATTTCTAGGTGTTAGAAGGACTTAGAGTGGACTCATGGCGTAGCGGTGACTCAATTGCATGAACCTCTAGGGCATTTATTTAATTTGTTTTAGGTTGCTTTGTCAGGTTTTGTGCATACATTGTGGTTGGGTTTTATTAAGAATTATTTTAGTTTGTGGCCGGTTAGTGTCCCATTTAGTATATATATATTTTTAGGAAGTTGGTTATGACTTGTTTTGCACTTGTCGCATGTCACTAGATTGAGTTTTGATTTATTTATTTCTGGCCTATCATCACATTTATTTTTTATGGTTTTGGGTTCATGTTTAGGCTTACCTGTGCCTTGGGCCAAGTCCCTGTGGGCCACGGCCGGTCATGCCCAGATTTGGGGTGTGACAATTGTGGTATCAGAGTTGTAGTTATCGAGTTACATATCTTGCATTTCATCATTTAGACGAGGTCCGAGTCCCTATAGTCCTTAGTCGTGTTTGGTTCAGTTAGTTTTGTTTAAGCTTGTGTTGAGCTTTTCTAAATTTCATTTTGAAGGATAAGAGATGGCACCTAGGAGAAGCAGTGTCAATGCTCTTGGAACTGATCAATCAGCCACTAATCATAGAGTTCCCCCTGTTCTTATACCCCATACCGCACCACCTGTTGCTCTAGTCGTCCCTGAAGCACCAGCAGTTGTTCTTGTTGCACTAGTCGCATAGGTTTTACAGTCATTGTTGGGATTATTTAACAATCATGTAGCCCCACAACCAGCAGTTCACCCAGCTTTAAGTTTGGATAGAGGTTCCTTATTTGAGAGATTTATGAAGGCAAAACCTCCAGAATTTCAAGGAACAGTGGACCCTACGGAGGCAGAGGCATGGGTACTAGAGATAGAGAAAATATTTGAGGTTCCAGGTTGTTCAGCAGACCAGAAGGTGGCCTTTGCAGCTTTTAGGTTCAAGGGTCAAGCAGAGCATTGGCGGCGCATGGTGAAGCGTCAATATGAGGGTAGAGAAACAGAGCTAGTGTGGAGCAAGTTTCTAGAATTGTTTAACGAGAAATACTTCCCTGAAGCGGTGCGAAGGCAGAAGCAAGTGGATTTTCTCAATCTAAAGCAAAATGACATGTCAGTGGCTCAGTATGAAGCCAAGTTTGTGGAGTTGTCGAGGTATGCCCCACATTAGGTGGCCACAGAGGAAGATAGACTGATGTTGTTTGAGAATGGCTTGCGGTCAGAGATCTATGAAAAATTAGCTATTTTGGAGATGAAGACATATTCCGCATTGGTAAGCAAGGCATTACTAGCTGAAAAGGGAGAAGAAGAGGAAAAGAAAGCTGAGGAACAAAAGGCCAAGGAACCACAAAACAAGAGGCTTAGGGAGGAGGGACAAGTAGAGCATCGTGGTGGTGGTAACAATCCTATCAATAAGCCTTACACCCAAGGTCAGGTTAGTAATGGCATGAAGCAACATAATCGGAGGATTTGTGATAGATGTGATAAGTGACATTCTGTTGGGTATAATTGTGATGGCACAGCTCGAATATGCTTCAAGTGTGGCAAGCTTGGGCATCTGTCTGCGCAATGTAGGTCCAAGGGACTGGGAGGTCAGTCAGTAGCACAGTCATTTCAGGGACAAGGGCAGAGACGAACTTTTTATAGCAGTGGGCTTAACCAGAAGCAGAATAATGGCAAAAGTGGGACTACCCAAGGTCAGACATCCGGGAATGAGACTCAGGAAAAGAAGTCAGCGGCTACCCAAGGACGTTTTTATGCTCTCACTAGAGAGGAAGCTGAGGTTGCTCCATCTGTGGTACAAGGTACACTCCTTATATCATATGTACCTACCAGAGTTTTAAATGATTTAGGATGTACACATTCTTTTGCCGCACCTAAGCTTCTACGTTGTTTGTCTATTCCTTGTAAGCCTTTGGATGAATGCATTGCTGTGTCTACTCCATTAGGAGAAACAGTAGTGTTAGTGTCATGACCCGGACCCGAGCCTATAGGTTAAGGACATAACCGGCCAGTAATCCTAAGATTACCTACGGCCTCAAACCAAATCAGACATAACTCAGCAGAGTAAGGGGGCCAAACGGAAGCAAAATTTAAAACTTAGTCCATAGAGTTGTGCTTACATGGCACATCAAAATCAAACATACATATGTACATTAATAACTCATAACAGAAATACAGTACCATAAAGTTCTACACAGACAGGATCATCCAAAACTAAGTCAACCCATGAAACTATATACAGACATGTTCGAAGACTTCGGCAACATGACAACATAAGACAAAATGACAAAAAGGCGAAGATGAGTCTCGTGCGTAAGACGCAAGGGCTAACTCTTCAAAACCTTTGTTGTTCCACACAAACTTCACTGGGGCTGGGTTTGGACTTCTCTTGGCTCGCCTACAAACACATGAATGAGCGTGAGCGATAGCCCAGTGAATAATATCAAATAAGGAAGTTATACAAACGGTACGTAGAACAACATGTTTCAAACGGCCTTGAGCCCAAATTCATATTTCTATTTAACATATATCTACACACAATTTAAGTCAAGTGACTGTGGTTCCAAACATACTGGCCTTTGGCCATTTATCTTCCCATATCAAACTAGCCTTTGGCCCATTCAACTTTCATTTATATCAAACTGGCCTTTGACCCATTCAAACTTTCATTTATATCAAACTAGCCTTTGGCCCATTCAAATGACAAAACGGCCTCTGGCCCATCCATTCATGTCAAAACGGCCTCTGACCCATTCATTCATGCCAAAACGGCCTCTGGCCCATTCATTCATTCTTTATCAAAACGGCCACTGGCCCATTCGCTCATTCTTGTCAAAACGGCCTTTGGCCCATTCATTCATGTCAAACTGTTAGTCATGTCAGATTATCATTCGTATCAGATCGTCATTTGTATCAGACAATTATTCGTGCCAGACTATCATTCGTGTCAGATCATCAGACTATCATTCATGTCAGATCATTTGTATCAGATCATTATTCGTATCAGACGGCCTTTGGCCTAATACATAACATAACAGATATTTGTCCCCAATTTAGTATAGCAACTTACAAGACTTACATGAAAGTAAGCAATTGGACAAATAACATACTTCAAATATCTTTATTAAGATATTACTCATAGTGATCGGCTAATTGATCTGCCCTGGAGGTCGACCCTACACATACCATGAACACAAAAGGGGTCACTAACAATTCAATCCGTTCTAAATTCACATTTTTCCTCTTTAGGCCTCATTCTTATCTCTTTAACTCAATTATAATGCTCACTGCATGCCTAAGAGTACTTAGAAGTGAAAAAGAACGGAAAACGGAACTCAGAATGCCTTTTCAAAATTTTAGAAAACAGGGTCTCCGCTCGAGCGTGGACTTCTCCGCTCGAGCAGACGCATGAGGCCTGCAAAAGTACTGGTTATGTCGAATTTACGCTCGATCGTGCACTCTGGCGCTCGAGCGGAAGGCCTCTCTACATGGCTCCCCACTCAAGCATGCACTTTATCGCTCGAGCGGACACCATGTCTGCAGAAAATACTGGGAGCTCGAAATTCACACTTGAGCGGCGATTCTCCCGCTTGAGCGGACGTCAAATTTTCTGGGTTTTTCAGAATGTGTTCTTGAGTTCAATTTCGACATTTCAACCACATTTCTTGCATATTATGGCTCCAATTTCACACATACATATACCCACATGATACCAACACCAAATCATAACACAATGAAGCTCCATTTCTTGAATTACTTACATGCATGCCTCAAATTAACCCAAACTCATCACCAATACATTCAGTCCCAAAAACATATAAACACATTATATTTCAAGGGTACACAAACAATATGAAGCTAATTACTCAAAATCATGGTTCAATTCTCCAAAATCAATCAACATTCTCGTATAATCATGGCTTATGCTTTCAAATCCCATATGGGCTTCATATCTTCAATAATCAAACATGCATGCAATCTTTTAACTCCAATTTCAATTCAATTGGGCCAAATGATGCTTAAACACATGAAATTCATCCAAATCATGCTTGCATGTATGACCCTACAACTCAATTCTTCATGATTAACAAACTACATGATAGATTACACAATCCTTGCTCATTTATGATTATTCTATGCATGCATGTACATTCTAACTTCATTTTCAACTAAATCTTTGCCATGAGCTACCAAATCACTAGAATTCACAAAATCACAAGTTCAACTCATGAATTAGGGGTTGATCACTCACCTAGGAGCTTCAAACACTCAAGTTCTTTGGAGTTGAACTTCAAATCTCCAAGCCTTAAGCCAAAATTGCACAATTCTCCCCCTTTCTCTCTCTAGCCGACCCTCTCTCTCTTCTTAGAGTTGAAATCAGCCAAATATTGAACAAAAGAGAAGGAATGAACATATAATGGCCTTTATAAAGCTCCATTTCAAATACATTATTTTAATGTTAAATAATTGAGCACTTACTCATTGAATTAATCTATTTAATTTGATCTGAATCAATTTTCAATTAAATTTCACCGTAGGCTCTAAAAATTATGCCAATCACAATGG